AGAGTGAACTTGGGCCAAGGCATAAAGGATGGCCAAGTATCATATACATGGCATTGGGTTGATGAGCAGAGCTCGAGGGGAACAGACCTTCTTGCATCTAGTTGTGCTTCATGACCGCCCAAGGATAATCAAGCGATTACCTTGGTTACTGCTTGGTTGCTAGAAACATGGGGTTGTGGAGTGTCCTTTTGCCTATCCCCTGGCTCACTTATTTGAGACAGCAGATACAGCAGTATCTGCAACAGCAGCAGCAGCAGCTTGAGGGAGCATCAAATCGTTCAAGCCTGCATCTGGGGCACTGCCAGGAAAGCAAGTCTTGGGCTGCGTTCTTCAGCTGGTGAGGTGTATCTCACAATTAGTAAGATACTATGAAATAAAGCATGTAACACCTCTTTCCTCTCACTTTTCCATCTTCACCTTAACCATCCTTTATGGGAAGAGACAGAATAGTTCTGAACTGATGCAAGTGAGGTGTTAGTTAAGCAGTAGGGAGGCAGTGGTCTGGAGATGTCTTTAGCAGCCAATGTGTTTGGCCAGAGAGTGTTTTGAATTTCATGCAGCACTGCTAAATGGTAAAAAAGCTTTTGGAAAGTCTGACCATACGTTAAGATGTGCTTTGTAATAATGATATTTTGATTTGCATGGCCTACAATTTTTACCTGTCAGTTTTAATATGTTTTTTGGAGTAAATCTGTGGTCAGTGTTAAGGAAACTGAAGTAGAGAGCAGGGAAGTGATTGGTTGGATGTCGGATAGTGAGTCAGTGCTGGAGCCAGAAATTAAAGATGTGTTCTTCTGACATTTTTATTTTTTCTCTGGTATTATTCTGTGGACTATACTGCCTCCCATCTCAGAGCTGCTTTAGCTGCTAATAAATCATACCAGTGCGGTTTGCTGACTGTGGGAATGTTTTGCTAATCCAGGCTGCCTCTGCACATCATCAGGTTTATGGTATAGCTAACCCCATGTGTGGCTCCACTTTGTGGGTTTTGTTAATTCAGAGTCTCATTCTGTTTTGCAAACACAGAACAAGCTCCTTTGTTACAACTTCCAAACAGCTTTGGACAGCAGACCTGCTTTATTGAGAGAAATAATTTTGTTTAGACACCAACTGCTTGGTATTTTTCAAGTAAAAATGGAAAGTTTTTGTTACCTAACACATTCTGTGGCAGCCTTCCTAAAACTTACCACACCTTCATGTCTTGCATGATAATAGAACAGCAAGAGTGCTTTGAAAAAGCTTTCCTGTGCTTTCACATGCCAGTTGTGTCTAGTAACCAAAAGAGTTAGAAATGAAGTATTGAGTATTCTGCAGAGCTAATTTTTAATGCCTGTCTACAAAAAGTGTGATGTGTATGTAACAGAGACTGTTATTCAACGGTCAAAGAGCCATCATAGCCTTTTCATGAAAAAGGTACTTTTCAAGACTTATTTTTGCATTTGTTACATGCTGCAGGACGCAAAAACATCTTCTCCCCAGAGCTTTCTCTGCTGCCCAGGTAGGCTGTAATGATACATAGGAGTCTACTACCAATTTGTTCTTTTCACTTTACTGTAGTCCTATTTCAGCCTGTAAGTTTTTGTTTAGTTTCCCTTTAAATTGGCTTATTCTGACAAAGTAATATCCTGTTTAAAATGCGGTGCCATAAAATAAAAGGAAGACAGAAAGAAAAAGTTTGAGTAATGTATCTAGAAAAGATCGCCAGGGAGGCCGGTCATAAGGAGAATGTGAGCATTAAGACAGAAATTGTTCTAAGGACTCGCTTGATAAAACTCTCTGATTCACAGTTATAAATTAGCACTATTACTTTAGAGATATACGTATCAGGAAGTAATTTTCTCTGAGGAAAAATATACCACAGCACATCAACATCCTCCTTGCCTTTTAAGTTACAGAGTGCAAGTGCACAGCGATAAGCCCCTATTTTGGTGGCCACTGAGATGATATTACCACTTGCTATCTGCATAGGTTGTCCGACCTGAATGAGGTAACTGAAAGGCAGGAAAAGGCCCATGCCATCCACAGTTGCTCTATGATGATATTTAAGTTCTTATATTGTCCCCATTGCGAAAAAGATAATGAAAGCTTTGAAGTGAATTTTTAAAAAAAAGGAAGGATACAAGAATGAAGCAGAATCCACCTTCACTTAAAAGTTATGCATCATGCTGCTTTTCCAGTGCATAGGTCAATCTGTGTCACAACGTTTTTTTAGAAAAACGCGTAAATATGAAAATAATTTTTTAAAAATCAGGTTCTGTATTCTCCTTCTCAGAATTTCCATTTTCACATGTGCTTGTGACCAAACGCAAACACTTGCTCTATCCCCTGAAAATCCCCTCTCAGCCGAGAAAGGGAAATCAGGAAAAAAGGAAACTCGTGGGTTCAAATGGGTTGAAATAGAAACAAATTTAATAAAACAATAAAACTAATATCAATACTAAAGTAATATAAAGTACACAGAGCTATACTCAGCCCAGAGAGTGGTTGCAAGCTGGGCACTCCCAGCAGCGAACACTTTGGCGGACACTGCGAACAACGCAGCTCCGCCGCAGGGAAAGCCGGCCTCGGGAGCAGAGCGATGGGTGAGACCCTCCAGGGATGGCAGCCACTGCGGGAAAGAGAGATTCCTCGCAGACTCCCCAGCTTATAGCGAGTGTGACGTTTATAGTATGGAATACTTGTGTTGACCAGCCTGGGTCAGCTGTCTTGGCTTCTGTCCCGCTCAGCTTTAGCACCTGGCTATCTCAAGACAGCTAGAGGCCTTGATCTCTATACTAATTCCACTAATTTTAAGTCATCCACCTGCTCTGTGTTTTTGTTTTGGTTTTTTCTTCTCTAAGTTTAAGGTGTTTGAGTCTGT